GTTGTCCACCTGAGAGAGGTGTGCGCCTTGGGTTGGCCACCGGAGGGGTGTGCGCCTTGGGTTGGCCACCGGAGGGGTGTGCGCCTTGGGTTGGCAGCACCACTCCCCAGGGACTAGGCCTCCACAGCTCCCACCTCACCCCCTAGGATGATGTTTATTAAGAAGCAGATAATAGCAATGTTAGTGAGGATGTGGGAAAATTGGAGTCCTGACTGCTGGTGGGAAAGTAAGATGGCACACAGCGTGGCAGCGTGTAATGTAATGAATGTGAGATGCCAGCAGTGTGGTAGCCCTCAGAGCGGAACACGGAATCCCAGCGTGAGCACAGAATCACTGCGTGAGCACAGAATTACCACTTAAGCACGGAATTATTATACAAACACAGAATCAGAATTGCTACGTGAATGCTAAATTACTATATAAATACAGAATTACCGTGTAAATATAGAATTGCTGTATGAATTCGGAGTTACTATGTGAACATGGAATTACTATGTGAACGTGGAGTTAGCACGTGAGCACAGAATTAAGATGTGTACGTGGAATTACGATGTGAATGTGGAATTGCTGCGTGGTCCAGCACATCCACTCCTTGGTACACACCCGAGAGCACTGGACATCTGTGTCACATGGACCGTAGTACACGAATGTCCACAGCAGCTTTACTCAAACTAGTAACAGGTGGAACCCCCCCAGCTGCCCACCCACAGAGGAGCGGGCAAACAGGAGGCAGCGTTATGTACAAAGGGATAAAAATGAGTGATGGGGGTGCGCGCCAGGACGTGGATAAACCTTTAAAACACAACCCTTGGGGAGCTCTGGTGGCCTAGTGGCAAGAAGCTGTACTGCAATCCCAAAGGTACACAGTTCGAATCCACCAGATGCTCTGCCGGAGAAGGAGGGACAATTTCCTCCTGTGCCAGTCAGATCTGATTTGACGGTACATGCACAAAAAAAAAAAATAATAAAATAAAATTTAAAAAAAAAACCACAACCCTGAGTGATAGAAAACCCAGACTCCCTGTGGGAGGGGAGCCCAGCACACCCGAGGGCTCAGAGGGCTGGGACACCACTTATGGAAAATGACTGGACTAAGCAAACGTAGCCATGAGTAGACAGATGGGCCGGGGGCTGAATGGATGGAGAAACGGGCAAGGGTTATGGTTTCGTGTGGTTGCTGTCCTGTTCTGTTCTGTCCTGACTGGGAATGACCCCAGTGACAGGAGAATCAGCCCGTAGCGTGTCCTCAAGGTGCAGATCCCCAGGTCTCTTCTCCACAGAGCTTCTGGGTCAGTTCACAGCTCCAACCTCTCAGCGGCCGAGTGCCCAGCACTGTGCCCTCAGACTCCCCATTCTAAGAGTAACCACCATTCAAACGAGGCACCATCCGGTCAGCCCCCCTGCCAACCACATCACGTGTTCCCCATGCCCACGGCTGACTGGTGGAAATGGTCGCCTGGCCTTTCTTCTGAGGCATCTCTGATGGACTCAACCCCCCAGCCTTTAAGTTGGTGCTTAGCTGTTCAGCTGGGTCTGCCCCACCAACCCCCACCCCCGGGACACAAATGTTCTAGAATTGGTGGTAAGAGTTACTCACCTTTGTGGGTTTGTCCTGTGAAAAGTCAGTGCAACCTAAGTTTGAAAATTATGCTGACTGGACGATCAGGGAAAGGGCACGTGGATACTTCCATCCACCTCCCCGCCTCTGTGTTCTAGCACCTTCCCTGCTGACCGTTACTGTGACCCACACTCCGTTTCTCCACAGAGTAACATGCACAAACACACCAAGAAATGCCACTCAAAGCCTGAAAAGCCGGCTGCCTCTGGACAAGGACAGGCGAAGAGGAAGGAGCCGGACCCCAGTGAGGCCAGGACGGAAGACGGTACCTCGTTTTATCATCTGGTTTTTAATGGGATGGTGCTGGGTCCTGCAAATGCCCCAGCTCCTGACAGAGGGCCCCGGGCAGGGGACACTTCTGTCACCATAGAAGGTTGAGGGTGGACCCTTCTGCCAGGGTAGGTCTCTGGTCCAGTGACAGCAGCTGCCACCCTCTCAGGACGGTGATGGGAATGACCTGCGCTGGGTTGTGGGGACACACGTTAGTGAGCCCAAGGGACAGAAAGGCCCCATGGTCTCTGCTCTGAGAACTCTCTCATCAGCTGGTGGACTGGCGTCTGGGCATCATGGACAGGATGCCCCAAAAGTAGGGCACAGACACGTTCCCAGCTTAGTGACAACTGCCCTTACCCCTCCTTCCTGTGAACAGTCAGGCGACTTCGAGTTGTAGCCCAAAGCAAACGTACTGCCATTGAGCTGTCCCAGCTCGACGGCCTTCTCCCAGGTGGGCAGCTTTCCCCCAGGTGGGCGGCCTTCCTCCAGGTGGGCGGCCTTCTCCCAGGTGGGCAGCCTTCTCCCAGGTGGGCGGCCTTCTCCCAGGTGGGCAGCCTTCTGCCAGGTGTCCTGAGGCCACAGATCTTAATGGGGGAGCCTGCCTGACTCATCTTTCTCCCTCAAAATGACCCACGGTTCAAACTGCCCAACAGTAACCTTTCTGGATGTGGCCTGACCTCTAAGCTGCTGTACACACAGCACCACCAGGGCCACCAAGTGGGCTCCAACTCACGGTGCCCCATGTGCCGCACGACAGAGGCCTGCCTGTCCCCTCAGCCTCACAGTCGTGGTGTTTGAGGCCAGTGTTGCAGCTGCTGTGTCTGTCCTGTTGAGTGGCCCCCTCTCGCTCACTGACCCACCAAGCACAATGACCTCCCAGAACCAGGTGCCCCTAGAGGAAGGATGGTGACCTTCATCTCACACACTCTGGGCACGTTGCCCGGAGGGACCGGTCCTTGGAAAAGGGTCAGCAAAAGAGAGGAAGACCCTCAACCAGACAGACTGACAACAGTGACTGCGGGGTGGATGTGAGCTTGTCAGAGACCAGGAGGCCATTGCTCAGGACAGGGCAAGGCTTGTAGGGTCACTGAGCCACGGTCCACCTAACAACAACAGCCAAGTGTCCGACTGTCTTCTTTAGGTGAAGGGTCTGCTCACGTCCTCTACCCTTTTTATACTTGGGCTGTTTGTCTTTTTTCTTTTTGAGATGTTGGAGTTTTCTACTGATTTTAGAGATGAGTCCTTTTCAGATATGACATTGCCAAATATTTCCCCCCAACCTAGAGTCTCCACTTGATGCTTTTCTGGAGAAGCCTTTTGAAGCACATGGGACTTACTTTTTGGGAGGTCCCTGTCGTCTGCTTTACTCTCTGCTGTTTGCACCTTTTCAGTCATATCTGCTGGATGTGTGTGTCCGTCAAGTAGAGCTCTCAGGTTTGCCCCGTTTTTTCATTAATGGCCTTCATCATTTCACATCTAGGCCCTTAATCCCTCTTAAGTTACTTTTTTTAATATAGTGTGAGGTGTGGATCTTGTTTTTATTTTTAGCAAATAACTATCCGATTTTGTCAGCATCATTTATTAAAGAAGACTGTCTACTCCCACTTAACAGACTTCATGGCTTGGTCAAAGATCAGTTGGCCATGGGTAATGGTGGATTGGTGTCAGCTCAGAGTGACCCTGTGAACAGATACGAAGGTTTCTCTGTCCGGCTCCACCATCAGGTGATGCTCTGTGTGCATGTTGGCCAGGGGTCAAGCACCTTGGCTTCAGTGTCCGGAGAACAAAGCCCTCACAGTGCAGGGTAGGCAGAGGCCAGAGATGCTGCCCCCACCTCACCCTGCCACATACAGGGCAGGAGAAAAATCCTTGCTGGAGGAAGATGGGCCCAGGGGTCAGGCAGGCACCAAGAACTCCGCCCTGAAGCAGGTCATTAAGGTGGGAATATGTGTAGTGTTATGTGCCGTGGAGTTGATTTGAGGCCCTTACAGGACAGAACAGAGCTGCCCCAGGGGTATCTGAGGTGGGCATCTTTATATCTGCACCACCCAGGATCCTCCTAAAAGACTTGTTATAAACAAAACCAAAAAAAACCCCACTGTCATTGAGTCAATTAACTTGTTTCATCAAGTTCCCAAGACTGTAAATCTTAACAGGAGGAGGCTGCCCATCTTTCTCCCAAGGAGCAGTGAGTGGGCTTGAACTGCCTGCCTTTCAGTTAGCACAGTGTGCTACACACTGTGTCACCAGAGCACAAAGGTGGTTTTCTAAAAGGCTTGTGGTCCCCCCACCCGAGCTACAATAGTGGAGTTCAACAGGGCAGCGCACAGCAAATGCTGGAGAGGAGGTAGAGATTGAAATGCGCATTCACTGCTGGTAGGAATGTAAAATGGTACAACCACTATGGAAGGCTGTAAAAGGAGCAAAGGCAGTGTGGGAGTGGCTGCTTCGTAAAGGTGGACTGTCGTCATCAATAACGGCCGTACGGTCAGACGTGACACCCCACATGCTCCGGCCTCTATTTCTACCCATCACTTGGCTCAGTGTTTATTGACTCACAGACTTTACTCAAAGTTGTGGGATTTATTTGGAAAATAGGTTGAGGCGTAGAGGAGGCAAATAATATCACACAATGCAAATCCAAGCAGCCCCAAGCCAGATTAACAAGACACAATTCCTCAACTAGTGAAAGTCCAGGTTCACTTAAACACCACACATGCATCTCTAGCTTCCTCAGTCGTCCTGCAGAATTCATCTCAGAGCAGTTACAAGTCTGCTTTTCCTTCAGTCATCCAGTAAGCAAAGCCTTTAACTGTGACTCCATCTCCAGGGTTCAGGGTTCCTCTGGTTACCCCTTGCCACAGTTCTTCACAGCAGTGCCACCGTCATTTCACCCTCTCTCCACCACTTTTCACAATGTGGCAAGCTCTCTCTTATATTGGTCCCACAGCTATTGATGATTTGCAAGACTGTGTGTTCACAGTTAAGGTAGCTGAAGACCAGGCTCCCGTTGAGGGCTAATGCAATGGATAGAAAAGCCGATTTTTGAAGTAATTTATTAGCACCAGAAAGGCAGTGTGGAGCTTTCTCAAACAATTGGAAATAGAGATACCATTTGACCCAGCGGTCCCTCTGCTGGGAATATACCCTAATGAAGCCAGCGCCATGACTCAAACAGATGTATGCACACCCGTGCCCATTGCTGTGTTATTGACAACTGCAAAGAGAAGGAAGCAGTCCAACTGCTCATTAGTAAACGAATGGATAGAAAAACTGTGGTACAGCCTCTCCCAAGTGAGGTAGTATTTTTCTAAATCATTGCCCCAGAGTGCTGCATAGTTAATATTTCATTTTGTGAATGTACCACAGTTTCTCAGTGCATTCAGTTGTGGGCAAGATCCAATGGTGATTGATTTTATGAAATGAAAAAGAAATAAAAACCGTGATATATCCATACAGTGGAATAGTACACAGCACTGAAAGAAACAATGACTCAACATGGGTGAGTCTGGAAGACAGTATACTGAGTGAAGTACCTGTCACAAAAGGACAAATACTGCATAACACCATTGTTATGAAATAGGACTGACACAGGATGGGAGAGTGGGGAGAACAGGGGAAAAGTGGGTGTGTAATGAACACTGCATGGCAAGAGGAGTGGAAGGACTGATGAAGGGGTGCGTCAGGAGGCATTCCATGTGTGACAATGCTCACTTACAACAGGTGAATTACAAAGTGAACTGGGGAGGGGAAATGAAGGGGTGAGGGGTGGGAGGAAAAGGTGTATCAGTGAATAAATGAAAACCCAACCTTTATGTCAACTGTTGTTAAAGTCATAATTTTAAAAAAGAAAAAAAAACACTTGTGGCCATGTTTAAACTTGTTCTGGTGTTACAGTGGTTAAAGCACTTGGTTGCAAAAAGTTGCAGAACAAAAGTTCTGCAGTTCAAACCCAAACAGCGGCTCTTGGGAGGAAGGTTTACAGCCTTGGGAACCACGCGGGCAGTTGTACTCTGCCCCACAGGGTCACTCTGGGTTGGAATCAGCATGACGGCAGTAGTTGGGTTTGGGGTTTAAAGTTAAGTGATTACTTCCTACCTTGACCTGTTCTGATTCCCCGGCTTCCCCCAGGAGTGTGTGCGGAGCAGGAGGCGGCCAAGGAGGTGCCCATGGTCAAGGGCCAGCAGTCACCAGCGGAGACCACCCCCGCTGACCCCGAGGGAGGCGGAGACTCCAAGGCGGACGTGACCTGTGAGATAATCCTCAACCAGATGGATAATTAGCGAGGTGGGACCTCTGAGCGGCCCACCCTCCCCGGCGATCTCTCATCTACGTCTTCATGAACTGAGCTCCTGATTTGAGGTCCGATCTTCCCAGAGTTTGAATTAGTGCCTCCAGTTGTTTACAGTTTCCTGACGAGATATTTCAGAAAGGTGCTGCAGGTTGTCTCTTAGTGGGTGTTAGTCCTGACACCTCAAGCCTTTGAATTCATCTGGTATTGGTGACGTGACCTGTGATGAATGTTAGTTTTAGGTAACAGTTATTTCAACTCTAGTACAAAGTCACTAAGAGGAGGTTTTGTGGTGAGTTTGTCAAGCCATCAGCTGCTGAAAGGTCAATGGTTCCAAGCCACCAGCGGATCCTTCGGAGAAAGATCCAGCAACAGTCAATGTCCGTAAACAGTACAACCTTGGAAACCCTCCGGGCAGTTCTGCTCTGTCCTCCAGGATCCAGGGGCCAGAAGCAACTCCATAGCAGTGAGCTGCCTTGGGCCGGATTGAAGACCAGCTGAGGTCACTGGTTGGCAAAGGTTTTGCAAATCCTGCTAACAGAAACGGCAGTTCAGATCCCCCAGAAGCATGGTGGAAGAAAGGCGTGGCAATCCCCTTCCAAAGTGACAGTGGACTTGATCTGGGGGTTTGCGGACCAACAAGTCAGCACTTAATCAAAGAGTCCACACACCCACAACATTCCAACTATTAGTATGATTTTTAAACATGAAAGACAAATTGTTTTATATCTTCTTTTTTATACAAATGAATTTTCCACATGATCTTAAATTGCCACAGCAAATGAGTTCTAAATCCAAACAAAGGGATTTTATTTTAATACTATAAAAAAAAATAAAAGCAGAGGTGGGGAATGAATTTGGCTAGAAAGTAATGAGCGATATATTTTATCCCTAAATACAGATAAGGCTCCCTTCAGAACGTGTGCTCACTTCTTGTTCCCTCTTAATTGTGTTCAGCCACCGTTAGGAAATCCTGGGCTGCGTCCAGCCGTGACTTAGCCACACATCCGTTTGCAGCCTTTTTGTTCTGCTAAACCCGTTCTCTTGGTGTTTTCTGAAATAATCGCAGAGTGAGAGGAAACAAGAAAGTCTGATGGTGAAAGTATCTGCTTGTCATGAACTTGGACTGTTTTATGGCGCCCTTGATTCGCCCTTCTGTTGCACAGACGGAAGAGGCTTTCACAGCGTCTGCTGTGTCAGGGGTCCTGGTGGAACAGTGGTGAAAGACCTGGCTGCTAACCAGAAGGTTGGCGGTTCGAACCCCCCGGCCTTTCTTAGGGAGAAAGATCCAGCAGTCTGTTCCTGTAAAGAGAGCGATCTAACACCCGACGGGCAGCTCTGCCCCATCACCGAGGGTCGCTGGGCCGCCCAGCACAGTCACAGCTTGAGGTGATGCATCACAGCACTCACTCTTACAACAAGCCTAACGGGTCGTCTTTTCTCAGCTAAACAGATGCTTTTGATATATTTGAACTTCTTCCCCGTATTGTAAAATTACTGACAAGTTCACATGCAAATTCTTCTCCTTTGAATCATTGCCAGTCTCCCCAGTGCAGAGGTCCTGCCCAGGAGAACCTTTGGAAGGGATTCCCAACGAATTCACTGAACTGACCTAAGAATACTTAAACTCTCTGCTCAGTTATGCGCTATCTCACTTGACTTTGGTAATTGATCCTAATTTTCTTACTGTTGGCAATGCTTTGTTTCACTCAATAAATTGAAACCAGTTCAGATTTACTCTTGTTTCTCGTGAATGATGTAGAAAATGTCTTCTTTGCATCCAAGCAGTCAGATCTTTCTTTCTTCACTCACGCCTAGTGACAGAAGCACCACGGGTGGACAGCTCTGACACAGAGACGTTTATTCTCTCGTGGTTCAGGGGCTGTTGGTTGTAGAGGGAGGTCCTCGTTTCCTTCCACATCTGCCAGCGGGATGTTCCTTCGGGAACTCCGTGTGTCCAGCCTCCCTGGTGTGGGAAGCACCCTGGTGGGGAGACCAGAAGGGTGCTGTCGGCCCCGGGTGGTTCTCTTGTTAGTACTGAGGTCCCCCTGGCAGCAGGCTCCCCCTTTTTCTCTCTAGAGGCATACAGGTGTCACAGGGCGCCCTGAGGACACTCCTTACATTTCTCAGGGCTGTGAAGGGGTAAGTGGGTGCTGTGTTCCACTGCTAAGCCTCGTATAGCTGTTTGGTATATCTGATCGTAGGGGATCATTATGTGGTTTCCACATCATGTTGTTACAAAATGAAAACACACATCATGCTTGGGAAAGTGGAGGGTCCGTGATAGAGGCCAACCCTCGACGAGGTGGATTGATGCCGTGACTGTAATTGTAGGCTTGAGCGTGAGGACGGCGGGGACAGAGCAGGGTTCAGAGCAGTGGTCGATGGGGTCGCAGTGAGTCAGCTCGACAGCACCTGGCAACATCACCTGCGTGGATTCCGGGGAAGCAGCTGAATCCATGTGAGCCAGCAAACATGGCTGTAGCCTTCAGCATGCCTGCCGAGAAAGTGGTTCCAAATGTTTCACAACCTCAAACAACATACGTAGTTTTCTAATATTTTAAAATTAAAGTCGGGCAGAAGTGTGCTATTTACAGTCCAGCTTCTGGAAAGATTGCAGAAAAAGGAAGAATAATAGAAAATATATTTGAGAAATGAAAGCCTAGTGGCATTTAAGCATCACCAAAAAGTCTCCCTAAATAGATCCACTGAGTAAAGGCAGATTTTCTCGTATAACCTGTGATGTTTAGAAAATGCAGGAGGTTGACGTGGCTTCCGTTTCATGTCCCAGCTCCACCTTGATGCCGGGAGGAGGACGGGGCCCACGGGGTCCTGCAGTCAGGTCTGGGCCTCTGAGCTGGGGATACCAGTGATTTTCAGTTACCACAGACCTCACGGTGGCCGCTTCAGATTCACCCAGAGAGAGTTCTGGTGACCTGGGGTCTAATGCTCACAGCCGCAGCTGCCCTGAGCACTGTGCTGTCTAAGAATTTCTGTTTGACATCGGACAGTAGGTCTTGGGAGAAGTGAAGACAGAGCTTCTCAGAGGCAAAGATGGCGACACTTCGCTCTCCATACTTCGGACATACGGCTGTGTGAGGCTGTTCCTTGGAAAGGGCCATCGTGCTCGGAAAGATGGAAGGTCAGCAAAGGAGGGGAAGACCTCCAGTGAGATGTACTGACGCGGTGACTCCAGCAAGGGCTTTAGTGTGTCAGCATGGTGTGGATGGCCCAGGCCAGGGCAGGGTTTGGGTCGGCCATTCACAGGGTCGCTCGGACTCAGACTCAGGGCACCTAACAACCACCTCATGTGGGATCAGAAGGGACGGCTCTTGGGGAAAGACAAGCCGGAGAAGGTGGTCAGCGGAGCAGAAGACGGCCCCCACGAGACGGGCTGCCCGGGTGTCTGGAGCAGTGAACTGCAGCCTATCAGAGCCCGGAAGAGAGTCGCAGAATCAAGCAAGGTTCACACCTGTTCAGAGCGTCACTGTGAGTCCTGGTGCATTTGACAGAGTGACCACTGCAGCTCAAAAGCTAGACAGAAGATGAGGGGCCAGCGAGCTGCCGTGAATGCGAGAAGGAGGCGGGAATGGGTGCCCAGAGGTAGTCACTGCCGCTGGTTTGTCGGGGGAAGTGTGCAGCTGCTGTGGGACCCACCGTGTGTGCTCAACAACAACTTCCTTAAAAGATCAGTTATGACCGGGTTACTGGTCTGATAGAGATGGTGGGACCCCCAGAACCCTTTGAACCTGGAGCTGAACTCACCACACGGCTCGATTTACAGCCACACAGTACACAGATCTTTAAAGGGAACAAGAGCGCAAATCCCTGAGAACATCAACCACACGGGTCCACCCCAGGGGCAGCCTTTGTCCAGGGATGAAGGTAGAAGAGAGAGGATGGAGGGAAACTAGAACCACAGAGACAGAATGGGAAGAGTGCTGACATGATGCCGTAAAACAGATATACTGGATGAAACACCAATCTGCAATGCACAATTCCACACAAGTCACAAGAAGAAGGTTCCTCAGACTATTTTTTTTTAATTTAGGTTGTTTATTTTTCATTTCAATGAACATCTACAGAGAAGAGTGGATTATATTTGGGGGTAGGGGGTGGGGTTTAGGGAGGTGCGGGGTGGGGATTGTGTACCAATGAGGGAGTTTTTCCTCAGACTATTTTTAAAACAGGGGCTCTGGTGGCCTAGTGGCAAGAAGCTGCACTGCAATCCCAGAGGTGAGAGGTTCGAATCCACCAGATGCTCTGCTGGAGAAGGAGGGGCAATCTCCTCCTGTACCAGTCAGATCTGATTTGATGGTACACACACTAAAAACAAACAAAAAACCAGAAAGGTTACGGTGGGGGTGGAGGTGGGGAGGGTGGACCCTATCAAGCAGTCTTAGTCCATGGTGTGGGTCACCCTCCAAGGTGTGGGTCACCTTGGGTCAAAAGGACTGGAGGGCCCATGGGTAAACATAACCGCAGAAACACCAGTCCCCACCAGAGGGCAGTGCCGGCTTCTTGTCCAGACACAAGAAGTTATGTAAATTACAACACAAAATTGGACCCAAAACCAACACACACACACACCCCGCTCACTACTGACCAGTCTGTTCCCACTCGGAGCGACCCCACAGGGTGGACCCCAGCCACCCAGGCTTAGGTCTCAACAGGAGCCGACTCATCTTTCTCCCTTTGACCTGCAGCTGGTGGGTTCCAATCGCTGACCTGCTTCTTCCAGCCCCCACTTAGACCACCGTCCACCAGAGGTGCAAAGCGTGGCTGCTTCTCTTAATTGTTGTATACCTTACAGCAGATAAACCAGCAGTAGGCACCCTGGATGGTGGTAACAGGGTACCTTGTTCTTCTTGGTGCTGGGTGGGGCAGGGGTGGGGGGTATATCAAACCTGGAAGTAGGTGGACACTTGCCACACAGAGGGGGTCCTGTCTTCCTGACATA